AATGGCCTCTCTCTTTTGTGCTGTGTCTTCCAGACCCTTGCTGGGGATGAGCACTTGTGAAAGTTTGTGTGATTTATCTAGTGGAGTGCCTCAGAATCCCAACACTGTTCCATTTCCCTTCCTGCTTTTCTTGGGATCTGCCAGCACTAAGGGTTGTATATGTTGACTATCTCAGTGTTAAACATATGCTTCAATGGTGGGACAGAGCTGCTATCTCTGGATGACAAGCAAGATCCTGTTCCTGATTAAATGTTGGTCCTTGGCATGAGGGGCTCTAGAGTTGGACTTCCCTTTGGGCAGCCAGCTCACAAATAACAACATGGAGACTTATTATTATGAAAGCTCAGGCCTAGCTTAGGCTTGTTCTTAACTAGTTCTTCTAACTTAAATTAACCCATATATTTTTTAAATCTTCCACATGATTCATTACCTCGCCTCTTTGCTGACCATCCTGCTTCCTCTGTGTTTGGCTGGTGACTCCTGGTTCACCTAGATTCCTTCTCCTCTTCTTTTCTCTCCCCAGAAATCCCACCAATCCTCTCCTGCCTAGCTATTGACCATTCATCTCTTTGTTACACCAATCACAGCAACACATCTTCACACAGTGTACAGATATTCTGCAACAGAGACCAAAGTGTCTGGATAGTGATATAATTTGGATTTCAGTGAGGACTCTTGCTGTGTTCCCTTAGGAATGATTCCCCATTGGGAACAGAGACTTCGGAACTGGTGGCCTATAGATGTGATTAACGTGACAAGTTCCCCAAGTGGTCACTGGGGTTGATGAAAAGTAGGAATATTACTGTCTCATGCTTCTATACTCCCACCCCTAGGTATGCTCCTTTTAGCTATACAGAACCATACAATGGTCAGTGAGTTAGACCATCACTGTCCCCTGTAGGCAATGCTTTATCTACACAGGCTATCATTTCCAAGCCGACTCTTTAGTCATGCTTCATTGCTCATCAGGTCAGTGGATTCCAGGTGGTGTACCATGTGACAGGTCCGGTAAATTCTGTGGAAAGGTGAGCAAGGCTGTTATCTCCTTTGCTGTGAAGCAGGTCCCTTGTTCTGATAGAAAGATAGGTGAAATGCTGTGTTGGTGGATCAAATATAACCTAATGATCTGAATTCAATCTCTGGAATCCATGGTTGAAAGAGAGCCAGCCAGCTCCTGAAAGTTATCCTCTGACCTCTCCACATACACCAGTATATGTGCAACTACACACAGACACACATACACATATATTGTATATGCATATATACAGCAATAATAAAATTTAAAAACTGATTATAAACTATAAACCCTTGGATAGTCATGTTGGCCAAGATCCTGAAGTTAAGCTCATAAACGGTATATCTGCCTGTTGTTTTAACTTTGGCAAAATGACTATACCCTAATCTACTTCTTTTTCAGTCAGCAATTGTTACTCCATAGTTACTGGCCTGCTTCTCTGGCAGCAGCCCAGCCACTTAGGCTGAAACTTTGTGGGAATTCTGTTCCTGCAGGCACCAGCTCTGTTGCTGCCACTAGAGGTAGCTTTAACTAACTCTCTATTGTTCTATTTATAAATAAGACTTGAGATTCAAAGGCTGGGGTGAAAATCTGCTAACTAGGTACTTGCTGTTGTCTTGTTCAGTTCCACAAAAACAAAACAAAAAATCTGTGCCACTCAAAATCCCTCCCTACTACCTCTGCTGTGTCTCTCTCTTCCAGATGCCCCCCTATGCTCTATGATTACTTTCTGTCAACTAGTTGCTAACAGCCTCCTGACCCAATTTAATTTTATCTAATTAACAGAAATGCAAACTTGGGCTTCACCAAGTGACCAAATATCCTCCAACATGTGCCTATCCCATTAAAATAAATGGCTCCCCTTTCCTGTGTGTTAAATGTCCAGTATGACCAATTTACCACCTTCTGGGTGGTTGGTATTTTCACGTGTTGCCTACTGACTTTATACTGTGCTGGATCTTGGCAATGGTTTCTGCTGATGGCAGTTTGCAGTCTTCAAATTAACACTGGTAATTGAGAGACCATGAAGCAGGTCTATGTGTAGCTGTTCTCTCCATAACCATGCCATCTCTGTTCATGGATCTGTTGTGCCAGTGCAAGGATGGCTGATGATAAAACTGACTGATGGCCCTCTCCAACGGTTCAGCAGGTAAAGGGGTCTGCCGCTGAGTTCAATATCCAGGATCCACATAGTGGAAAGAAAAACTGACTCCCACGATCTGTCCTTTGATCTCCACACTTGTGCTAAGGCATCTGCCTGCCTAAAATTTGCATGCACTCAAACGCATACACACACACACACACACACACACACACACACACACACACACCCTGGGGGGCATCAGTGATTTGAGAGGTAGTTGGGGGACATGGGAGGAGTTGAAGGGTGGGAAGAAGGAGGGGTACAAATAATGTTGATACAGTACTCATGCATGAAATTATCAATTAAAAAGTAGAGTTGGTGCTTGTTAAGTGATTTGTAACACAGATTTAAGCATAGGGTTAGTAGAGAAGCACTTGAGCAGAGGCAAGTATATCTCCAAGCACACTTGTGTCTGCTTCTCAAGAAAGAGCACCATGATTGTCTTTATCAGCTGTAGTACAGGCCGTTCTCAGTCTGGGGACTCCTGCTGAGGTTTCGGGTTCTTATTTCCTGGAATAAAATTGATCCAGGCCCCAGGAATAGGATGGAAATACAGGTTTCATAGCAGAAGAGAGAGGATCTCCTCAGAGAAAGGGAACACTACAGAGTTGGTCCCCGGTGTCATGTTATTTAAATAGCTCCATCCTTCTTGCACATTCAGGTGGCCTCCCCAGAGGCTGTCCTCCAGCACGCTCTGTTGTGTCTCATGTAGCTCCTGGGAGGGCTTTCCAGTCTTTTTGCCACCTGGCTTCTTTCGCGTTAAACTTAATGCATTTTTAATCCGTACCAGAGTTTGAATCTGTTATAGTTGTGTATGACAAATGCTGGTGGCTTCTGAAGTTCCTAAGGGCTCTTAAGGAATATGAGAGAGACTACAGAGAAACCCTGAGAGATTTACTATGAGGATTCTGATAGGCACTGGCTAGGACGACAGTGGACAGGTAAAAACAAAATCTAGATCACAAGGATGTGTGGGGAAGCTGGACATTTTTGATGTTTACAGAAGTTAATGTCTTGTGAGAATCCTACAAAATATCTGACAAAGAAGTAAGGTGGCATTCAAGTCAGATACATTCAGACCTTGTAGTTCATTGATATTTTAATATTCTTATTTGAAAATATTTCTATATAACAGGAATATTGTCTCTCTGTAGGCAATCTTGATTCTGCCAAAAGACTTCAGAAGTACTCTGAAATAAGGAAGAAAAGTATGTCCCCATAATTTTCCCTTTCTATCCTCCCCCAAGTCTACCAAATTGCCATTCTTTTGGTGGAACTACTTCGTTTAGCAGATAGAACCTAGCCAATTGTCAGTTATTGTAAGTCCACACAGTCCTGCTTCAAAGAGTTCATGGTGTATGAGAGCAAGTGACAAGAGACAATCTTTTAGAGGAAATGCACAGCAGCACATTGCCTGGCTTTGTGGAATCCCTGTTTTGAATATGCAGTGTTTTGGAAACGAGTAGTTGCAGCTGAGGCTGTCAGAATGAACTTCAATAACTGAAGACGTTGAGTCTGCAATAAGGAAGAGTAGGTGGTGTTTGACCTCAGTTTTGAAAGATGAGAGGAGACCGATGCATATGTTGGGAACTGTGTGTATGAGAGAGAGAGGAGAGAGGGGGGGAAGAGGGAGAGAGAGAGAGAGAGAGAGAGAGAGAGAGAGAGAGAGAGAGAGAGAGAGAGAGAGAGAGAGAGGGAGGGAGGGAGGGAGGGAGGGAGGGAGGGAGGGAGGGAGGGAGGGAGGGAGGAAGAGAGAGAGCCAGAACCATTAAACTGGTAAAAATAGATTTTATTCAGGAACTAGTACAATAGGGGAAGAGGCATTAGAATATAGAACAGGGCTCAATTCTTATATTGCAATAATTTCTAAGTAAAGTCTTTTTAACCTCTTCACTGCTCGGCTTTTTTCCCTTCCTCCTCCTGGTTTTCTTCAAGGAAGGAGGTGGTGATTCAGGACATTTCAGATCAAGGCAAAAAGAATGAACAAACCCAGACAGACCCACAGCAATTTAAGGGAAAATGTAACCCACTGAAAGTTTAAGTACTTAAGAGAAACAAGAATTCCCTACAGGCAGAAAGTAGTGTTGTACTCGGGGAAGTATCAGCAGATAGTAAGGCTTTTATAGGAACACATCCACGTATCAGCAGCGGTTCTCAGCCTAGGGGTCTCATACCAGAATTACATTGGGAGTCATAACTAGCAAGCTTACAGTTATGAAGTAGCAACGAAATAGTTTTATGGTTGGGGGTCACCACGTAGGAACTGTATTAAAGGGTCACAGCGCTAGGAAGGTTGAGAACCACTGGCTTGGGGGTGCACAGGAAACAATGGAGATTTGTGTTTACTTCAGGGAGCTCCAAAGGGAAAGGTGAGTCTGAACACGATGGCTTCGATGCTGCGCCAAGGAGTTTGGACTTTAGTCTCTATTGCCAAATGGGAGCTCCCAAGTCCAGGGAACTTTACAGCCGACAGTGTTGCGACAGGCTGGTGCTGCACAAAGCAGCCACTCCCTTCCAGGCCTCGGTGGAGGCAGATCGCTTTCAGGATGCCGGCCTCTTTGTCCCCTGGGCTCAGGAGTCCAGTTTTCCTCTGGTGCTTTTCATCCCGGACAGGGAGGGGCGGAGAAACACGTGTTCTGATAAACAGCGGTCTGGAATAGACGGGGCGCCGGGAAGGAGGCCACGACCCGCCGCCGCGCTGGGTAGCCTCTGTGTTCCGGTTCTCCCAAGACAGGTCAGGTCCCTGCCGCCGCTACTCGTGCCCTCCGGAACCCTGCGCCGCGCCTCCCGCCGGGCCTGCAACAGCACCCAGGTCGGGGGGAAATCTCTGGAGCCCGAGGGCGCGCGCCTCCCGGGTGTCACGTGACGCGCGCCGCCCACGTGACCGGTGGCGCTCGCTCTCGTACCCCGGCTGCGGGCGGAGCCGGCTACGGCGGCGGAGCTGAGGAGCTAGCGGAGCCTGGGCCCGGAGGAGCGGCCTGGCAGGTAGAGCGGTGCGGGGCGGAGGTGCGGGCGGGCGGGGCCGTGCTAGGCGGACGCGGAGTCCGCGCTTCGGCCCCTTCCGAGGGCCGTGGGCAGCAGGCGCGCTCGGGACTCCGCACTCGGCGATTCTGAATTGCGGGGACTTGACCCAGGTGTGCGGTGCGCGGAGCAAATGGCGTTGCCCGCGGCCTGCCCTGCTGGAGAGGACCATCGGGTTAGCGGTAGGGAGCTGTCTGCGGCACCGCGTAGAAGCTGAGGGATGCAGTTTTATGAGACAATAAATGTCTCTTTAAAAAACAACCACTCACGGTCTCCCTTGCCTTTGCTGGTAGGAGGCAGAATCTGAGTTTCTGAGACTGGTGTGTGCAGGGATAGCATCAAAAGCAAGAAATGCTGACAGGCTTGAGAAGACGCTTGGACCCTAACGAGACTTTAGAATGTGCTTTAAATTCTAACTTCAACTTAAATCACGGCTGTATTTAGCTGCTCTTCACATGTGGGCTGGCTTTCAACCTATTGTGTGACTACCAGTGCCTTTATTAGTACTTCTGGGCGGCTCTTTTTTCCCCCCTATTAATTTTGTGCCTACTGAGGACGAAGTGGTGCATTAATCTTTGAAGTGTTTCTTCTACAAGTTATTTTTTTATGTCCTATGATCCAAAAGAGTTAAGTAACACGATTCTCAGAAAGCCAAAGCTATGGAGCTTGTAGCTTAAAGTTTGTTTGTTTTTGAAGATGTTCAGTTGAGTGTCTGTGTGTTCCAGGAGTTTCAAAGTGTGAGATCTTTATTTGAGAGTCATGAAATTGAAAGGCCCCTTTTGTATTTGGTACTTTAAGAAGAAGCATAGGAGGCAGGCTTGACCTTTCATGAGTCAGTCTAGAGGCCAAGACACTGAGACACATTTTCTTTCCTACTAAGAGTTCTGTGGTTAAGTTTTTTAAGTGTTGCATTACCGTGTGTGTATTCAGGAATGTGATGAGAATTGCTTGACTTTAACTCAAATGGATTTCCGGATGTCAGTTAATAATTTTCTGCTATGTATTTGACTCACAATATGGACTCAGTTTTAAAGTTCTCAAGTGTATGTAGATCGCAATGTACAGCTTGTAAAAAGTTTACAAGCAGAGAATAGAGGAAACTTAAGAAAATGTTAATAAATATAAAGAACAATGTACATAATCAGTAATTTTACTATCCAGAGAAGACATTTTATATTTTAAGGTATGAGTTCTATTTACTTTGGAAATTTGGGGAGTTGCAGGGTTTACATAGTAAGATTTCAGATTGTAAGACAAAGCCACTAGCAAATGTTTGGGGATTGAAGCTGCTAAAGTCTACTTAACTCTAGAATTTAGATAGTTTGAATAGCAGCAGTTCAAATAACTAGGTTACTTTTGTGTTCTGGGGTAGTAAATACAGTCTTAAAAATATGATCATACGCATGCTGTCATAGTCACAGATAAGTGTGAAATGACTTCAGGAAGCACTGGAGTTCATTCAGGGAGGCCTTTTCTGGAACCTTCTCTGAAGTGTTAGGGGGTCCATAGTTTGCAGAGGTGACTGTTCCAAGTGTCCAGCTGTTTGCTGGAATAACTGATACACTAGAAAAAGTTGTGATTGTAGAGATGAAGTGTCCTTTCTCAGGTGGATCAACCCTGGGTTCAGCATGGCAGAGGTGGCTCAGCACCATTGCTTATAGCTGTGGGAATTTCTTTCCTGAGATACCAGGAGCAGCTGAGCCCTCTCCTCAGCAGGTGGGCGTGGTTGTCTCTGCTTCTTGAGCCTAGGCCTTTGCAGGGTGTCCCCCAGTTCTGGCTAAGGCATGGCAGCTTTAGCTTTCACTGTGGTGAAGGAAGGTTGTGGGGCAGGTCTAAGCTGATAAATTACCAAGAGGTGACTGAATCTCAGTAGCTCTGAGGTTGAGAGAGAGGATCTTGAGTTCAAGGCTGTCTTGAGCTGTGAAGTGAGACCCTGTTTAAAAATGGATAATTGGAACAACACAACCTCTTGTACCTTAAAACCCTTGGTGTCAATCTGGGCCACTATACCCGAGTTCCAAGATTAAACCCTGGGCATAGAATTGTTGTCAGCATGTCTAGTAGTTGGCTTTGTGACAGATCTGTAAATCTTATTTTATAAGACATAGAAATATACTGAATTAAAGTGAAGACAGTAACTGGCTAAATATAAAAACTAATTTCCTTCTGTATCACTGGTTATTACTGATGTGATTATTGTCACTGGTTTTACATTAACTCTTGTGATACCATCCGAATCATGAATGTGAGATATTCCCCCTGTAGTTTGTCATTTGATGAAGTTTAGCATCATGCATACTTGTTTTCAAAAGATGTTAGATCTTCCGTGAACACATATGGAAGAAGGAATCTTAAGCCAACAGTCATTTCTAATGTGTTTGTCACATGACTTTGAGAAAACAAAGTATTAGTTTTCTTAGGAGCGCCTTTGTCTCTGCCTTTGAGGAGAATCCTCCAAGCCACTTCCTGTTCCACTTTAGGCTAGAGCCTAAAAACAACAGCAACAACAAAACAAACAAAAAACCAAAGAGAAACCTCTCTTTCCTGGAGAAGAAAATTCTGAGATCAGAATGTACCTCTAGACTGTAGAATCTAGCAACTACAGGGCCCAGTTTTGGGCTCTGCCTTACCTGATTTGTTTATTTTCAGGACAGGGTCTTTCTGTGTAGCCTTGGCTGGCCTGGAACTGTCTATGTGGACAGGACTGGCCTTGATCCTCCTGCTTCTACCTCCTGAGTTGTGGAATTAAAGTATCCTTTGTCATAGTCCACCTCACAGAATATGTTTCCTCCTCCTAACCCCGTAGTCACTTGGATGGTTTGTTTTCCAATCAGAGCACATGATTTCAGTATTATTTCCTCACTTAACAATGAGCTGTCAGAGTCTCTGTCCTAGAATTGCCAGAAACTTCTGGGCAGTGGAATGAAAGCTCGTTGGGTGACAGGGCTGAAGAAATGCTTCTGGGGCCATTACTTCAGGTTATGCTGCAAGTCAAAGAATTTCTGGCTCTTAGAGAAGGACAGCTGTTGGACCTTCCAGTCTCATCCTAAACAAATAATGAATTTAGACAAACCCATTATGCAGATGTGGATACTGTCAGTGTTGGGAAATTCTAGGACAGTAGTCACACTGTCTTTAAACGAAGGTGGGAGGGTGATCTTCAGTGACCTCTGTACAGGTGGCCTTAGCTGTGTCTGATGAAGAGAGAGTGCTGTATCCAAGATGTCGAGTCTTGTCCAGATTGAGGGCATGCTTTCCCTCTTATTCTGTCAGTTCTGTAAGCTGCAACTAGGGCGGTGATAGTGTCTCTGCAGAATTCTGAAATTGCATTTTATTTGTATTCCTTATAACATTGAAGAAGAGTAGTTTTAAGGTGTATTTCTGTTCTGAAAGGTTTGAGACTGGTCTGTCTTAGAGGCTTATCTGGACTGTCTAATCAGGAGGGTTAGAGTCTTGGTACCCTAAAGCCCACCAGAATAGGTATGGAAGAAGTTGCTACAGATAACATTTGGCTCTACAGGAAGCCAAAGGACTTTTTAATCTTGTATCGTAACATAGATGGATGATAGTTCCAAGATTGCACTCCAAAAGTTTGCCCCCAAACCCTAAAGCCCTTTTATTTGAAATGGTTTCTAGAATACAGATACAGTGAACTAAGAGCTGGAGATGTCCATTTTGTTAAATCTTTATGCATACATGGGCACTTAGAGCTGGGCAGGGTGGCACATTCCTTCGTCCCAGTATGAAGAAGGCTGACAGGAAAGGAAGAAAGTTAAAGATGTTTGCTCTGCAGGGAATATGATGGTTTTTGCTAAGGAGATGCTTATACTTTATCATTTCTAGAACACAACAGCTTTTCTGTGATAATTTTCTTATAATTGTCACTACTTTGCAGACTTAGCACATGATTGTGTCACATGGATTGTGTACTTGCATGCTGTCTCTCGTCATTTGCTTCGTCCAGTATGGTCTTTGCATTTAAGGTTTGCAGTTGGGACTAGTATCCCTATCAGGCTTTTTGACCTTCAGAGGGCATAGGCCATGATTGCATTGCTCTTTACAGTGTCCTTAGCAATATTGGTATCTGTGGTAATTGCAGAGGAATTAGTTAGCTATGCTATTCATTTGGTTCATATTTTTATTTTGTGTTGGTGTGTGTGTGCGTGTGTGATTCTCAGTAGCACATGAACTACAAAAAAAAAGCTGAGTTTTGAGGCAGCTCACTTCTTAAACTAATGACAAAAATCATATCCCACCCTATTTATAAAATAGAGAAATTGCTGTAGGGATCTTCAGCATATGTCTAAGTGCTTAATTAAACGCAGTTTGAAATTCAGAGGCTTTGTGTATCTGGCATTGCAGCTCTGATAGTGTAAGTGTCGCTTTAGAGCAAATGCTTTGTTCTTTTTTCCTTTAGTAGCTTTCAGGTCAGCAGAAAAGCTGTTTAGAGGGAGAAAGCTCTGTTGGTGACATCATTCCTTTTGTTCCAGATACATTCTGCTTATTCTGGGAGAGGAGCCTGCGGCCTAGGAAAGACATGCACTTATAGGTCAGCCGCAACCTCTTAGTATTTTTTAATATTGAGACTATTATTTCATGAGAAACAGATTTTCTATACGATTGATCTTGATATCCTGTCTTTCAAACTCCATAGACATATTCAAATATGTTTTTTTTTTTGGGCCAGGTCAACAAAATAAAAAATTTCCCCATCTTGCCTTAATACTTGATTCCTAGGGCAAAGTAAAATAAATGGGTTCTTAAGAGAATTGATTCCCTGCTCCTTCAGCCATCTAGTTCTAAATGTGGATTTCTAAATTTGGAAGGTTTGTGTTCATAGTCCCTAAATTTACCTTTTAGAATATAAAATAAAATAATCTTTCCTGGGTATACCACAGGCTCTCTGAGATAGGAAGAGCCATGGTGGGGGAGCAGGTTATTGATCTGCAACACTAATGGACAGA